AAGCTAAAATCAATTAAAAATACAATATAAAATAGTCCTGAATAAATAAGAAATAAATATAATCCAAGAATTCTATATGAAAGTGCTTCTAGTGATAGAGACCATGACTGTGATAAAGAAGATTTGTTTGTCAGGAATGGAGCAGGCTCATCTTAGAAGTTCATTCATGTTGGATACCTATCCTGTGAAGTATGTGGCGAAGTATTACAAGGATATGCATAGACTTTATAGTACCAATGAGCTATTTAAAAAGTAGACAGCATTTTGTCATCCTAGACAAGAAAAAAAAAATCACTATTAGCGTTCACTGAAACACATAACATTGGTTCATGAAAGAACCAAGAGCTTTTAGATAGTTGGGAAATTAAACTTTTGTTCTTAGCCTTCAATAATAAAAACGGTTTGCCTCTAGTAGTTCCTCAAGCAATTGCATAGAGAACATCCTTCCTTTTAACAGCACAGAATATAGATTGCTGTGTATGAGTATACAAATGTACACACTATATTCTGCACACCACCCCAAATACATAAGGCTAAAGTTTTTTCTTTTTTCCACCTGATTCTTACTTACCTGAATATCTTATTTACTAGCTTGTAGCTACTTCTAAGAAATCATCATGAATGGATGTGTGCTTTACTAGGCAGCAGTGCATTATTTGGTGTGCAAATTACAAAAAATGTATCTTTTAAAGGGGATGCATTATGCAGTTGCCTCCAAATATATGCTACATGTAACCAGGAAAAAAAGGAAAGAAGTGTCTGGCAGAATTACAGTAGTAGCAAGTGGAGTCTGTTGCAATTTTTCAGCGTTATTATGGGGCTGTCCTTGGATGAGCTTACAAGCTTGCACATGTTGAAATCCTGAACTGTTCAGATCCAAAGGCTGCCACATTTGTTGCTATTCATACCCAATCTCCAAAGGGAGAAGAAAGAATATATTAGATACATATTCAGACATGACCTTGTATAGGTTTGCCATCCTGTATAATATTACGTATTTGGGGAAAATAAAAATTTTCTTGTTTGTCTGAGAGCAATAACTATTTTAAATATGAACCGTATGTAACATACAGAGTTATTAATTGTTCCATATTTATACAGATGATTTGAATTTGTGTTATAGTGGAATTTGTGTTATAGTGTTAATTTTACACTGTTTGCAGAATTACAGTACAGTTATTGATGACATGAGGTGCCTAATATTGAATCCTTAAACAATAATATTGTGTTCTTCTTCAAAATAATGTGAATCCAGAAAAATTATTCACTTGTAGGCATTTTACAGATTTTCAAGATGTAAATGTATAAATTTATATATTTAAATAATATATAAAGCATTAGTCTTTTGGTCATTTTATAATAAAGAGCTCCTTTGCTTTTAATAGGACAGCATTGCTAAACAAGTTCAACTAGTTTTATGGAGTATAATAAAGGCACAGTGCCATGAAGATTCCTATCTGAGAAGTAATTTCTTGAAATTTTAACAAAATAACAGTAATCATTTGACATAGCATATCAGTAATCAAATTTTCCCAGTCGCATTTACTGATTTCTGGAATGAGGATTTCTGTTACAAAAATAAGAAACACATTCCCAGAGGACCAAATAATTATACTAGCCTGTGCTTGATTTCTGTTTGTTAGGTAAATAAATGACTCTGGCAAAAGTCACTTATTTTATGTATTCTTTTATATATCATAGAAGAAAGCAGTCTCACTGGAAACTGTAGAGCACAAGATCATTAAATGATTTGCAAGATAAACCGAAGGATTATTTAATAAAATCCAGTAATAGTGGAATTGATTGACTAGCCGAGTTAATGTTAATGTATGTATTGGGTTCCGTAAAATCCTGGTGCCAATGAAGAATGTTGTATTTCAGATTATATTCAATTTCCCCAGGGTAAAGTAGTTAGGAATTTTCTGTGTTCTAAATTGGGAATCCCACAAAGTTCCAGTCCCATATAGTTTATCCAGAGTTCTAAATGCTGCAAAGTATAATAGCCTTGCAGATGTGAGGTGGGGGAACAGGGGGAACCCATTGAGAGTTAATATAAAATGCTGTGATAGGAAAAGAATATTGCATTTAGTACCTGGGAATTTTGCCCTTAAATCTAAACAGTGATCACATCACTATTTAGTGATTGCAATCATAATAGCCTGGAGGCTGAAGAGTAGGGTCTATACTGAACACCTTAAAATTGAAATTATTCAAATCTAAAATATTCCTGGATTGAGATCACAGTGCTTCTCAAATGATGAGACCATCTTGTGTTTATTTGAAAGTTTTGCCCTTGAAATGAGGCACTTCAAGACTGAAATGAGCCATTGCTTCAAGCTTGAAGTAAATGGCTTCGAAGTGATATGAGTTCAGAATGTTTTGCATATCCCTAGTGGAGAGATAATCTTATTTTACCATGTGCTGCACAGTGTGACTCTGCCTCAATGTTCACATGAACTGCTGTGTCATGGTCTTGTTTAAATTGCATTAACTAGTGATTGACTGCTTTTATTATTTGGAAAACAGTAACAGATTCATCCTTTATATATTTTACCAACACCCATAAAATGAAATATAATTCTTATTAAACACATTCCCTTTATGCAAAGAACTTCACTCTGTCCATCTGAAAGTGGGGATGGGTATTCCCACCACAATGTTATTTTCACTGAAATGTAATCAGATTCTGTTCCACAACAACTAAGTTGCAGCACCTTTTTTCCTTTTAAAATCAGATATATAAAGACACATAACATACTAGATGTGTATGGGATCTGGTATTCTGCTTCTATGCATAATTTTCTATTTTACTTGCAATATTCATTCCATTTTGTTGAAGAGCAAAGTTGAAGACATTTGAGTTTTCCCCATGAGAGAACAGAGGTACAGTTTTACAAATTATATTTCAGATCTGCTAGCAACCACCAAAACAAGTTAAACTTGGTTACACCATTTCCAGAGTCCAGAATAGGCTACCAAACTGGATGGAGGTAGTCCATGCACCCCCCTAATATAAAGTCATGAGACATGAAAGATTTTAAAGAGTAACTTATTCTTTTCTTTCTTTTTTTACCTCTCAGTGCAATACTAGCTTCTTCTTTTTTTCTTTTCATCTATTATTAGTTATCTCCACATAATCTTTTTATGCTCTTTTTTTCCCTTAGTACTTGCTGTCATGTTAAATTTAAAAATGCAAGGCAAGCCCTCTGGATCAGATTAAAGATCTATCTATGCTAAGATTATGATTCTTATATTGGCCAACCAGATGTTTATGAAAATCCAACAAGCAGGTTCTATGTAAAACCAGCTAGCAACAGCCCTCTTCCATTGTTGTTCTTTTGTAACTGGTATCCTTGATATCTCTGATTTTGGAGATACGATTTAGTCACCATGACTAATAGTTATTGATACCTTATTCTCCATAAATTTGTTTAATCCCTCTTAAAGCAATCTAAACAGATAGTTATTTGTACTACTTGAAGTGAATTCCAGAATTTCAAAATGCATAATTGCTATTCTAGAAAATTGTACTTTGCTTGATTTAAGTTGTTTACTAGTGGAATTCTTTCTACCAGTTCCATCATACAGCTATGAATTTAAGAAGAGAAAAACAATGCAAGTATAATATGCTAGCATTTTCTAACCCTTATACATGCTTTTAGTAGCTTTAGGTTGGCTTTAGATATTACCACTAATATGGGAAGGGGCTTTAAGCAGTGGTATTTCACAGCCAGTGATAATATATGTATGTATGTATGTATGTATGTATGTATGAATGAATGAATGAATGAATGAATGAAT